GACACGGGCAAGGTAGGCCGGCATGGGCCTCCTTGGGCCTAAAATCGAAGTTTACTGTGCTTTGCGTGCCATTTTGCAAGTTTTGAATGCAGTGCAACCTCTACAATCGCCTACCGGATCATCTGACACATTTAAGAGGTTATAGCCTTAGTTTATTGAGGAAAGTCCTAAGGGCAGGCAAGAAACTTTCTGGTAACAGCGCGACTACTGTTGCTGCGGGAACGCTATGAAAAATCGCTCGAATCACTCAGCCAAACTTGCGCTTCCTCTGAACACCATCATGCAATGCTACTCTTCTCAATAGCTCGAAAGGTCCTCTAGTCAATGGTCCATCGTTCACGTTTTTTACGCAGGTTGCGATTTTCTAAGTGCAGGGACCAAAAAATCTAGGAGACCCGTACACAGTTCACCAGGCTCAGCTGATTGTAAGGAACTCTTCGCAAAATATGAACGCAGCCTAGGATGCAACTTCAGATCAATTGTTACTACGAACAATGTAGACTCATTCCCTCAAAAGGTGCAAACTGAGGTGATCACACGGTTTTACACAACATAAACTACAAACCACTCACCAAAGGACTCGATTGTCCAGCGGAGTACGGCTGTTGTTGTGGTTGTACTGTCGGCTGAACGAAGTCTCCATATGCGTTCTGCCCGTAGAGCTGTTTGGAATGGAACAATTGAAAGTTTCATGACCAGCAAAAGATAAATGCCAAGTGCTTACCCCGTTTGCGACTCGTTCCGTCGTTGCGTAGGTTGGTTGTGTAGAAGATACGAACCCGGTAGAAGAAACTTGTGTTTGACCCTGAGTTCCACCGCTTAGGTATGGCGGGGGTGTTGATTGGGTATATGGCTGTGTTTCGCTATAAGGGCTATTTGTTTGATAACCGTAGGGAGGTTGTTGAGTTGATGGGCTGAAGCCCACTGAAGAGTCCAGAGGTTGGCTTTGAGGGCCAACTGTCTGGTAGTTATACGTGGAGGGTGCAGATGATGTGGCAAAGCCAGCCGGAGAGGTTTGAGTTTGACCCTGCGATCCATCATAGAAAGGTTGTTGACTTGGGGGAGTCACCGCAACAGCTTGATTTTGAGGGTTGTTCGTTCGATAATCGGATGAAGGTGGTTGAGGTGATGTGGCGCCGTACTGAGTAGTCTGCATTCGACCCTGATCATACTGATTAGTGTATTGCGCAGTTTGGCCAGAAGGCGTGAATCCACTGGACGACGGTTGTGGTCCAGTTGTCTGATACGGAGATGGAGTGTACTGTCCAGTACTCATACTGCTGCCTGACTGCGTGCTTGGGCCGTAGTTCGTAGAAGTGCCATATATGCCTTGACTGGGACTTATGACATTTTCTGAATAGAGTCCCTGATTTGGATGCTGAGTGGATCCATACGGAAAAGGTGTTGTCGTATAGGGCGTCGCAGAAGCGCTGGACTGGTACCCTTGAGCTCCTCCGTTAGTGGTGGACATTTTCTGCGGATAGACATTGATAAGTGCCGTGGGGAAAACTCCCTGGTTGGGCACATTGGATTGCGAATACGGTGCCTGTGTAAAAGGTGGAGGAGCTGTCGTTGGCGTTCGACTACCTGGCGACGACCCTGTCACCATTTGTGCTCCGTCATAGTTCTCCTGTGATCTGGTAGGGCGCGTTAGCATTGTCCATAGTTAATCTCTGGCCGTCTCCTGGGGTTGTTCGGCGGCTAGTACGGGCTTGATTATTGCGCCTCCCGCTGTGGGTTGCCCTGACCCTGGATCAGTAATTATACCACCGGATGCACATTGTATGGCCTCGGAGTTCCCAGTTTGCTGATCCCTTCTTGAGCGCCTTTGTGACACTGCGAACAGGATGAAGGATTCGCAAGCCTGAGATTGGAAAATCGTAGGAGCTTCGTGTTGGAGCCACCTCCTGTTTGGGAATAGCCAGTCATAGCTACTGTCTGGTATCCCGTGTTCGCACCGTTATAAGCTCCATTTGCCTGATTCACTGGTTGATATTGAATTCCTCCAGGGGCGCTTTGAGCACCAACACCTTGGCCTTGCACAGTATTTGGGTTGTAAACTGGTGACGACACAAGGCCTCCTCTTCCTTGTTGTTGTTGTTGTTGTTGTTGTTGTTGTTGAGGAGACAAGTACGTCGGAGAGTTTGAGCTCTGCATTCCTTGTTGATACCCATATGCCGTTATCTGCTGTGACTGCGGGAGATTTCCTGGTCCGGATGCCTGGAAAAGGAACCTGATTTTGGAAACTTGTTCTGATTTTGAAATAAACTTCAACATCACAATGGAGCTCGACCGTACGAATGATCTGAGTGTGAATTGTAATGTTTAGGAGTGAGGTGCAGCAATTTGCTCAGAGAATACAGCGATTGCTTCTGCGCCTGCAAAATGAAACCTTGTTGACATCATGCAAGCTAACAGCCCCCCCCTCTTCGTCTCTCATGCACGAAGGTACTGATAAAGTCTTGCCACACAAACCGACGTCTTCTCTAGCCCAGAATCTTGATTAGGATCCCCCAATGGAATCCTCCAGAAAGTAAAGATGTGTGGGGTAGAGGCTGAAAACACATCGGAGGACCGTACCTCATGATTTGTCCTCGCTGTATCAAAATGAGTCGGGCAGTGGTGACTGACAGGCGATGTAGTGGGCCAAACCAGGTGAGCGTTTTCGACAATGTATTAATTAGGAATTTCTGCGCATTTAACGGACAGCTCACTATCGGCGTAGGCTAGCACTGGCCACACCGAATTGTGGCTAGAGCGGCGGAAAGAGACGCTGTAAACAGGTCACGTGGCCGTTCATTTCGCACCATTGACCTTCCGAATCAACTGGTTATGGTTACCGAAGTTCTTCAATTACGATTAGAAAAGTTACTTTTGCCAGTTTGCGCTCGATCGCCGCAAACTCGATATGCCAGCTGTACACCTCACATCAAACTCCACCTTAAATATGATACTACCCTTTCAGTCACATGCTGACTCTCTTGACCACTATTATGGTTTCATGACAATTGTGATCGCATCAGGGTAAATATTATGTGGTGTTAGTTAACAGTATCAAAACAATAGTACATCTAAGCAATTATACGCTTGCCTGTCCGCTTGAACCCGCATTTGAAATAACCCCTCCTGCATTCCGTTGAATACCATTACCTGAAAAGAGAACCATCTGCACCTATTTCGTGTTCATGCGGTGATCGTCCAACGATTATATGAGAATCACTTCCTGTCTAAGCATCATCAGATAGCAGCAACTGCAGAAAAGAATTACCTGTCTGCATCCCATACCATACGACAACTTGTTTGGGAGGAGTAATCGTGAGACAGCATGCCCTCAAGACCAGATAATCAGAACAGAAAAAATCGAATAGGAAAAACGCCCCATAACTCTGGTTAACGTTGGGCGAAAGCTTCTAGAATATGGAGTTCACCTCCGGTAAAAACGTTTAGCAACTTGAGTAGTCAGATCGCGGGTAAGGAGATTAGAGCCGTAGCACAGCCCTTGCTCGCAGGAATTTGTGCCAACAAAAGACTGTTTTAAAAAAGCGGAGAGCTATATAGAGAAACGTTCCCTCTTTCGCTTACTGAGAGATGCGAGTATCTAACGAGCGAAACCATTTGCCGTGAGAGAAATTGGCGAAAGAAACAGGCCGTCACAATTATGTCCTTATTGAAAAAATCCGTTGTAAGAGTAGTGAAGGTGGAGCGACACTATTTCGCTTTCACTCATATCAGAACGCGTTTATATTCAACATTATAGAAAGTTTTCAAGGAAATCTTGAATTAATTGCTTGATGCATTTTTAAGCTTTTACTCTCCTTTTTTGGAGTGCCCTTCTATCAGGTTGTTCAGCTTTTGTGTTACTATTTTTTTGTACATTGATTGCTGATTAAAAACTCATTCTCCCCTGCGTCTCAGTAGTACATCCTGAAGAGAATTTTTTGCGCTATCTGATGGTATAATTGCCGTTTCACCATTGCTTGATGAACCCCTTTCCCAAGACTTTTTGAAGCATGTCAAAAGAGCAACTTCGGACGATATTTTTCTTAAACTACAAATTGGGTCAATCCGCAGTCGAGACAGCTCGACAAATTAACCAGGTGTGGGGCCCAATAGTCTTGGAGAAAGCACCGTGCGACGATGGTTCAACGAACAAATTTCGTTCTGGAGATTTCAGCCTTGAAGATGAACCTCGTAGCGGTCGACCTAAAGCAATACCTGACGAGGATTTGAAGGCGTTTGTGGAGGCTGACCCATCCCAAACAGTTCGAGAGATTGCAGAAAAGCTAGGCGTTGGGAAATCCACTGTTGCGGATGGTCTGAAAGGCACTGGGAAGGTGGAAAAAACTCGCAATGTTGTGATACAATTTGAGTTTGCTGGGCCAGAACTGTAGCACATCAAGGTTTCTTCCTCAGCCTTTGGTTGACGACCGATATACTATATCTCAAAGTAGCTCTTTTACTTGGAAGTGACTCTCACAGCAATCCAGAACGCCTCTCACATTTTTCCTGCCGGAATGTCCGTATCCTGCGCCAATGTTGCGCATTAATTTCAAAATATTGGCCAATGTGTTCCACTCCTCCTGTAGGCTTGTATACCCGGCGATTTTTCTGCCACTTTAATATATGGAACCACAGGTGGTGTGGCAATTTATGTGCTAGATCTCACCCAATTCCACGCGCACAGGCACCGGCTCGCTATTTGGACAAATGAATCAATCTGTTGATGTCCACTGTTTGTCGTAGAGTCTATTCCGAACCAGAAGTTGTTTGATGTTGCTATTAGGGATGGTAACTACCGGAATAACATCGTGCAACTACTGCTCAGAATAATGCGCATCTGTTCCAGTGGCCCATAGTATCGGCCAACGAAAGGGAAGCAGGATAGTCGGGATTTGCGCTTTTGTGGTGACAGGCTGTTCATTTCATGTTAGTTTCGCTGCTCTTCCTGTGGTCCATATAGCCATCTTAGGAAAACCAGCTCACCAATAGCGCTGTCGACATAAACTGTACGAAAAAGGGATTTAATCTTTGGGAATCCTCATAACTATACACATCCTTGAAAATGCCGCGAAAAGGAGCTTCAGGAGAATAGCACGACCAGAACATATTCATAAGAGGGCCGATTCCAGGTTGGTTCGCGCGATTCCCATGAAGAGACACCTGGACAACAAAATATGAACAAGGAGGTATCTCGTGGTCAAGCCGTGAAAAGAGAACAAACGGAAATGAAGCTTGAAGAATATCATAACAAATTGGAACAGAGTGACAGCCAGAACGTTCCCAGCTATTCGATGTCTCGATTGTCACCTTCGAGAAACAATATTGGCCAATCAACAAAACATGGCCGATGCATGCTTCGTAAACCCCATTCGACCAACAAGATCACTGTGTACTAGCGTATCGGAGCAGTATCCACTAGAAAGAAGCAAAAACTGCCATATTGAACTCGAGCTTGATGAGGAATGGATCATCTTTTACATGAACCCATCAACTGGTCGAACAAGCTGCTCCCTTTCGAATAGGTCAGGATCAAGAATACCTAGGTATTCAGACGTAGGGGAGAGGGAATGCTGTCGGTAGCCATAGATTTTAAGGAGACAGCATTGTGCATTTGCACTAAATCAAACGAATACCAGAGAATGTCACCAGGTCAGCTGAGATAAGGGAGTTGTCTTTAAAGATTCTCTAGAAGCCAATACTGCTGTGTGATGTGCAAGGAAACCTGAAATTAGGGGCGAGCCTTAGGCTGAATAAACAGTTCGCGAGTCGTGTCAACCACTTAACTTGTTCGAGTTCACCCCTCCCTTTGTGATGGTAGCTTTGCATCTCTCGGAGATCCCTCGCTTACTGCCGCTACTGCAGATGCTCTCTTGCCTTGCGTCAAACTCCTCCTGCTCAATAATCTTCCGGAACGGTACGCAAGGTGGCCAATGGTTTCGAGGCTGGAGGCAATTGTCAATTATGCAAAACTTCACGACTCTACCTCACTGCCTAAAAAAAAGATATCAGATGAAATTAGTTCTTAAGCTCAGTTGGACCACCCCATTATGAACGAAACTTCAGGACTCTAGGCACCTGTGTTCCAAAAAAGTAAAGTGCAAATGGCGTGGCGCTGCGACACGAGCCAATTGATATCACTCTGGATGCTTTTCTCATTGTACACAAATGAAGCAAAGTTAGAATTATAAATGCGACCCAAAAACGGGACTTTTAGAGAAAGGCGGTAATGTAGGTTTGATAAGGACTCACGGTTGATTCCCGGTGGTGTAGAGGTCACATCGTGTGCATTCCAAAGAGCAGGTGGCATTCAAAGACTGAAACTCACATCAAGTCAGTGAAAATAATTTCAACACTAGCACTTCAACTTTATCATATGATGCCGTCTCACCACATACACTCCAGGCGATGGCATGGCTACCTTTTTCATTTGAAGGTGGAAGTGACTGCTAATCCTTGGTGGAATATTACAGTTTGATACAACTGTAACCATGTTTTTGTGTAGTACATGACAGGATGGCTGCGAAGTTATCTGTCAAAAATTATATACGCCAAACGTTCATATGACGTACACTCTTTTCCCCCTTTTCTTATCCTGGAGGCGGTCGGCATTTTAATAATGGCCACAAAACTGGTTTACTTGTTGGTATATTCCAGTACCGAGACAACTGTCATCTTGTTCTGTGTTGGGCACAAAGACGACAACAATTGTGTCAAGATGAAAATATCTCACCAGAAGCACAGACACCTCCACGATAGGTTGAAACAAGCGCGATCTCAGGGATTTCGAGTATACGTGGCCACGCCCTCCCCACTTCAAGAATACCGAAAGTAAAGGGCAATTATCTGTGAAGCAGTGAACACGTTTTTGAAAGAATTCTGGAACACTTCAATAGGACGTCACACGAGTAAACCTCTCGAGTAGACGCTCACTTTTACCTTCCAAACCACCGCAACACGTCTTCTCTACCTAGCTGGGCATTTTTGGAGATTTGAATATGTTTTCTTCGTATTCTCGTGAATGAGCTGACGTTCTGCTTAGCTAGCCGTTTAGTATACGATTCGTACAGCAACACACTGCTGGCATGCACATGGATTCCTAACACATTCCTCAACCATTTCAGTTCATTGTTACACAGAAAATCTCTGTGATGCGGTAGGCGTGGCTGCGTACTTGAACAGAACCTGGCAGCGGCCAAGAATTTTCGTGGAATAATTTCACTTTCGGATTAGTTATGATGTCTTTGTCCAACACGGAACAAGATGACAGTTGTCTCAAACTGAAATATCCGTCCACCATCCACCACGAGTTCAAATGCCACGCCTCCTCCGTCTAAGGGATAAGTAGTATTAAAGGCAAGTGGCACTATAAATCTCCAAGACGTGTAGGATTAATACACCATTAGCACGACTGAGGTTGGGCCTCTGGCATGCGTCCGCGTGGCGACCTTCCCGGGAAAGGGACCCTTATCTAGTTGCTATTCCAGCTGCCCACAACATATTGACTCGGAAAAAACTATCGAAAAGCGCGCCACTTCGGCTTGTTCCAAGTTTTTTTTTGCCACTGTATTAAGGCGACTTTAGGGTAATCCACATCGTGTAGAAGAAAATGCATTTGTCATACATATTTATTTAAGTCATATATAGCATTGTGCAGCAGATCGTATTGCATTTAATGTCAGGCGCGGAGTCAGGGGCAGATTCGTTATGTGTGAAATGTGATGTCAGTACAACCTTAAGGAAAGGTCTCGGTACGACCCCCTTTCCCCATCATCTAGCTAATTATTAGCACAAACGAAACCGTGAAAATTTTTTCCCAACGCCGCAAATTTGTCTCAAAGCCACACACGAACCCCCCCCCCTCCCCAACAACGACCGAAACAGACTCCCGGAAACGTCAGCGGGAAAGTACGATCGACCCCCCCCCCGCCTATGTGTTTCACACACGGTGTTGCGCTTCTGGGCGAGAGTCATTGCGTCAACTGCTGGGTTAGGGGGCCATAGTGGTTGAACTGGAGAGAATTACTTCATGACCTTCCTCATGGGTGGTGGCGGTCTGAAGAAAGTTGGTGGGGTTCGAAGAACAAATCTTTCGGTGCTGCCCATAGTGCCTTGTGTCCTTGTCCCAGGAAGAGTAACTGGCAGAAGGCAGAGAAGTTTCGCGCAATGCTGCAGCCCTGGCACGCCCGCTTTGGCGCGCCACACAGCCCACAGTTACGACTCCCCTCTGCTGCCCAGGCCTAATCTTTCGGCACTTTGATACCGCAGAGTGGTAGGCCTATTAGA